GGGGGGGGGGGGGGGGGGGGGGGGGGGTGGACAGAGTGCTCCTGAGGAGGGAATGTCAGGAAGGTCACTTTAATCACCGGTGGGTTTATCCCAGCCTGACGCAGCAGGGGTCGACCCCCACCCACCACAGTGGAGGATGTTAGCATCGACTGAAAGGGGAATGTAAACATACGAGAGCATCTTTGGCAGAATGTGAGGAATCTCTTTGGAGGTAGTGGGTAAAAGTGGGGGAGCAGGAAGGAGGTGCAGGTTTTAAAGATCCTACGTGGGAGCTGGATGTTCCTGCGTGTTAGTCCTGTATGAGGCACTTCTGTGGTCCTGGCTGCATTTACTAGAGTTATAGCTAGCCTCTGCTTCACTCTGCTCCACTGTCCCGTCAGCAGCAGAGGTCAGAGTGGGTGTCCTGTGTGGTTTTACTAAGAGCTGGGATGCTCCTGGTGGGGCTTTAAGGGATGGGTCTTCTTCTCTCCAGAAACATCTGCTAAGAGAATCTAAAAGGAAGTAAAAGCCAATAGTCAGACATAAGATTTGACATTTCTTCAATATTAACATCCCTGAAAAATCYAACCTGCAGCTTTACGACTCTGTGACCACACTATAAATAAAAACAAGCGTGGCTCCATCTACCTACAAAACTAAAAACCACATGAGCAGACAAACACTGCCAAAAAGAGTAATATGGTTCAGCGCATTCACTGAAAATCCCTCACTGGGACATATTTAAGATAAAACTCATTTTTTTTTGGTCTCTCGTACCATTAAGATAATGCTCCGGAGCAGCGAGGCTGCCAATTCTTTTATCGTGCGGGGTGAGGTAAACCGAGGGRTCCTGGCTGCGTATGAGGCTCTCCAGCGTGGCGTCCTCCAGATGGGAATGCTCGCTGAGGCCTGGGAGAGTCTTGTCTAGCTGATCGTCCTCCGTCAGATAAGCGTAAGGGCAGTACTCCCGCGTTCGAGAGTAGATGTTGGCGTTATCGTAGCAGTCGGAGCAGATGACGAGAGGCCCTGCGCCACCTGGCAGAACAAACAAATCAGCTTTGGAACATAGCTTAAAATTAATTATGCAGGACTGTGGTTAATTTAAAACATAAATTGGCCAATATAGTGTACATTTACTAAGAAATGCTACTGTATATACAAACATTGCAAAGAGAAATTATGTGGTTCAAAATTGGATGTTGTAACAGATATGTTGCAATATTTTATAGTAGTGCTGGGYGGTATACCGGTTCGTAACRAATACYGTTTYTTTATTTTTGTTATGATATGAATCTTCTGAATMCYGGACATACCGKTTTAACTAGCCTGAACACRTTGGGAACGTTTTGTGAYGGCYGCCAGTSAACTGYTTCCCGGGGGACACTTTTCTTCGCAGMACCGCTATGTGCGTTAGCATGCTAATGTTATTATTGGAGCAGCTTATATTGACTGAAGTAAAAAAAAACATTCTGTTTTTGCCATCGCTGAATGTAGTAAACACCTCTTCAGTGACGTGCATGGTTAGATTTAACATGTGGCGTTAATTTGGAGACGTATAGATGCATGGAGACTTTAGCGTGGTTCTGTTGTGAAAAGCCCGGGGGAAGTAGTTTTGTAGTAGAGTTGAGCTGACTGGTGTGCAGGGTAGGGCTGCCATGATTAATCGATTAATC